CCCACACTGCTGGTACAAGGGCCACACTGGAGTGCTACCGACCTAACAGGGTCACTGAGAGAGAGAATATGCCTGATTAGCTTGAGTATGTAGCAGGAAGTAGAGTCTTCCTTGAAACCTCGTGAAGGAGAGACAGCATTGTGCCCATTCTACAGATATGGAAACTGATGATCAGAGAGACTAAGTGTAACCTGGTGAAGGAGAGACAGCATTGTGCCCGTTCTACAGATATGGAAACTAATGATCAGAGAGACTAAGTGAAACCTGGTGAAGGAGAGACAGCATTGTGCCCATTCTACAGATATGGAAACTGATGATCAGAGAGACTAAGTGCCTCCTCCAAGGACGAATCCAGTCCTTCTGCCACCAGTTCAGAGCTGCCTCGACTGCCACCCACTACACTCTGTGCCGGGAGGATTCAGAGATGAAGTCATAACATTCAAGCTCAGGAAGATGACAAGGGAGATGCACTGCACCAGGACCTGTAACACAAAGTGTCTGAGAGAAGAGCCAGAGGTCCAGAGGTGGGGGAGCACGTGTGGGCCAGATTTTACCCCCCAAAAGTGCGACTTCCTTGTTTTCTAGCCACAGCCCAATTAGACTGCAGATGGGGGCCTTCTTCCATCAACCCAATCCCTTTAAAAGAAAGAAGAAAAAAAAACAAACAAAAAAACGGTGGCTTTAGGATTTCTCTTTTAAGCCCTGAAGCTCTTCAGTGGAAAGTGCTGCCCTTCCGACCCATTGATGTAATTGCCATAATTGAAGATTCCAGGCCCCCGTGGGGGTAGACAGGGCCCCATTCAGCCATCAGGTCAGTGAAGTGTAAACCTGCTGAGTCCTTCAGATGCCCCGGCCACAGCCTCCCCTCCCCCCCTCCAGCCCTGCAGGCTGGCTCCCCGCGATGCCAGGGCAGCCAGGCCCAGGATGGTCCCTCTCTGGCTCTGGGAACGGTGCCTAATTAAGGGGTCTGTTCTCATCTCCATGGGGCCGACTTAAGGCCTCCTGACAGTAATGAGAACCACACTTGTGGGGCTGGGGGGTGGGAAGGACGGCCCACCCGCTGTCTTAGCACCCTATTAAACAGCAAGTCACACACACACATGCCCACGGTGCAGTTCGGCTATAACCACCCTCACGTCTTCAGAGCTACAAGAAGCTGCTCCAATTCTGAAAGAGGAAGGAACCAGAGAGAAGAAATAGCTTGCCCAGGGGCACACAGTGAGTCAGTGGGGCTGGCCTCAGGTGTCCTGTCGCACCTCACAGCACAGACTTCCCCTGGAGGGTGGGGCTCCCCGCTGACGTCCCGAGGGAGAAGATGTGGGGTGGAGGAGGGGAGGGGACCGGCTCCCAACTGCTCCTTCTGGAGCAGCCAGCTTCAGAGGGCCATCATGGTCACCACAGAGCAGAAGGGAGCGGATCCCCGCGGGGCCGGGGCTGCTGGCATCTCCGAGACACCCTTTGATCACAGGACAGAGCCATCCTCTGAGTGGGACATTCACTGCTGCAGATGGATTCACACCTAATCCTTGGCCTCCTGGCATGAACAGGAACCAGCCGTCGTCACCCTCTCCTGCATTCTTTGTGTCCCTGTCTAACGGCCTCCCCCCTCCCCTCCCCACCCCCTCCCGCCCAGCTTCCTCTCTGCCTCAGCCCAGAGCACCCGAACCAGCTGCCCTGCCACCCATCCTTTCTGTCTCTCCAACAGAGGAATGTTGCAGGGTGCCAAGCTCATAGCTGGTTCTCAGTAAATATTCATGAAATATGGTAAAAGTCAAGTCCACGTTTGCTCCAGCTCACTCTCAGTCCATTGTTCTGATCACAGCCTTGCGTACAGAGAGGACCCTGAGGTGAGGTGAAGCCGAAAGGCTTGGTCCAGTAACATGGACCAAAATCAGAGATACGGGCTCATTTATAAAGATAGTGAATGACAGAACATTTCAGTTGTTCCATGGCACAGTGATAAATTCCCAGAAAGAAGCCAGTAAGATCCTGGGTACTAACAATATAATCTGGAGACCCGGGGTTCTTCCAGAGGCCCCCTCACTAGCGTCTCTACTCCCATACTCCCTCTTTCCACCCCCCAGTCCTCTGTGCACACTAGCTATCAGACTGATGGATCCCACTGCTTGTATTGTGTGACACTCCCGCTCAACAGCCTTCAATGGCTCCCTATTTCCTCTGCATGAAATCTCTTCTGCCTGGCTCTCAGGGGCCTCCTTGGTCTGGCTCGGCCTCAACACCGTAGTTTCCTACTGTGCTTTAGACCACTTCTACCCCTTTAATCAAGTTGTTCTCCTCACCCAGCTCAGACAGTGTAGGACAGGGCATGGGGGTGAAGATGAAATTTGGAGCCAGAAGACCCAGACATGAGTCCCAGCTCCACCATTTGACCTCTCTGAACCCAGTTCTGCATGGGTAAAATGGAGATGATAATAAAATCCACTCCATAGGGTTGGCATGAGGATTAAGTGTATAATAAGGGTTAAAGTACTTTATAAATTGTAAAGAGCTAAAGGAATGACAATTATTCGTATCTAGTCATGATTCCTCTCACCTCCAGCACTGCCTTTGACCTCATGATTCTTACACGTGGTCAAACTCAACTCAAGCCCTGCCGCCCATAGAAAACTCATGCCTGATAACTCGAGTTCTCACTGACTAGCTTTTAAGGCATCACCCATAAAATGTGTTGTTTTGTTCACTGTGTCTTGCACATGTTAGCCTTAGAACTCCAAGCTTATAGTTATTTACTTGTATACAATATAATACAAAAAATCAAGTTACTTACAATTTCAAAATAAAGACATTTATAACAGCAAAGCTCGAGATACAAATGGAGGGGAAAATCAGAAACACCGCTGAGGGAAGCAAAGGACAATTATGTTAGATACCTAGGTTAAGCTGGCGACCGCAGTTACGTCCCCTTGGGGATAATCATCATTTTCCCTTCTTCACATTTTTGTAGAGGAGAGACTTGTATTCCTCAGCCCACAAAAGGGGAAGGCTGGAACTTTCCCATCTCTCTCCTTCTTGGGAGGAGGAGTAGCTAGTGAGATGCGTGAGGGCTACCAGGAGAGGGTCACGGGGTCGGGGCACTGTGATGCAGTCACTGCCTTGTGCTCCTTGGTCTCTTCAGAGCAGAACAGGTTCCTGCTCTCTGCCCCCGCTGGATTTCTGTAAAAAGCCATCTGCACAGGGAATCACTCCTCACTGCCCACCCCCTCTCCCCCTCTACCACCTTCTGTTGCTTCTACTCCACCAGCCTCCTAGAAGCAGGCCATAATCTTCTCTTGCAGTAGCTTGAGTAAGTAGACTCAGCATCTATCTGGCGCAACACGGAGGTCCCAAAGTCAGACTCAGGGAGGGAGCAGGGAGTCCCATCCCATTCCCCAATACGGAGGTTAAAAGAGAACCTGCAGTTTTGGAAACTTCTTTGCAATCAGTGAAACTGATACACTGATGTGCATTCAGCTGCTGGTCCTGGAACGAGTTCCCCATCACTCCAAAAGAGGAGGAGAGACGGTTTTACAGCCCTTTCTGCCAGCGAACACAAATGTGGGCTGTGAGCTTCTTGATAGCCTGGGTATCATTATTTGATAAAAAATGGAAATATAGCTGAAGTTAAAGAGGGATGTATCCTGATATAAGGGACATTGAGTAACACAATGGATGAGTTGTCACTGATGGTTTAGCAGAAGATGCCAAAAGTATCTTTTCTGTTGTTTGGTAATAGCCCATAATCAACGTTAAGGGAATGTATTAACTTATAATTCAGTGTAAAGGAACTACACTAATGCAATTCAAACCTATTTCTTTGTGTTGACCCAATCAGAAGGACAGGGCTTAATTCATTATTTCAATCATGTTTTTGACGAGAGATGAATAGCACACGATTTAGAATTAAACTCATGCATTCCCACATAATGCAGAAATAAAAATTGATATGACCCTGGAGACCTGAAACTAACACAACATTGTAAATCAACTATACTCCAATATAAAATAAAAATTAAATTTAAAATAAATTAATTAAGTAAAAAACAAACAAAAAATCAATATGACCCTTTGGAAAACAATTTGGCAATATGTATTGAGATATTCATAATGCTTAATAATGCTCCTCTTTTAGCAATTCCACTTCTGGGAATTTGTCTTAAGAAAAACAAATGTTTTAAAAGTTATATGCTTAAATGTATTAAGTAGATCATGGTACATCAATGGTGAAAGATTGTGCAGTCGTTTGCAATGAAATTTATGTTGCCATCACGTTAGAAAACAAAGTGGATTATTACAATGACCATAATCATGTAAAATCATGAAAGAAAAGGAAGAAAACTATCAAATAAGAAGAGTGATTTTCTCTCACTTTTTCTGTATTTTTCTATTTTTTAAAGCGCTTATATTATAACTGGAAATAAACTTTATTATTAATGTATATAATTAGCTGTCTACAGATCCTACTACTTTTTGATACCAGCCTGGTAGACAACAGAGCTGGCATTCTGCTACAGAAATTAAGAGCTATACTTACTGCCTCACCCAGGTGATGGGGCATCTCACTTCCACACAGAAGGAAACTCGCCGTTGCTGGTGGGCAGGACCTAGCTTTTCCTAAACTAGGAGTTTTGGAGGTGACTGGGCACATTTGGCCATCTCACTTCAGCTGTGGACTCCCTGAGCAAGAGACAGAGTCTTCCACTTCTTTGATTTAGTCCCCAGGGCTTGACTGTAGCTTGTCACCTGCCAGGGGACCAACAAATTGTTGGTTTGATTGGTTGATCTAATGATTTGTCTCTCTGGTTCTCTAAGATCATCTTAGGTACTCAGTCCATCGTTACTGAGGGACTGAATGATGAAATAGACATCAGTGAACCTTTCTGGGAAGTACTAAAAGAAGACGAAACTCTTACGTATGTTTCCAGGTCCAGCTCAGTGGTCCCCGCAGACCACTCTGCCCTCGCTGCCCCCCACCCCAGCCCCACATCCCCCTGTGACCTTGCACAGACCATGACTGTACACCTGACCCATGACCCCAGCCTCAATGCAATTGGTTTACTTTTCTGACCCCCTTCACTTGACTCTGAGCTTCTTGAGACAAGGTTTTACATTTTGCTCATTTTTTATTAAATCTGCCTCTAAGGTTATTAGCAGAGGATGGGACATAATTCATTCCATATGGCACATAATAGGGGTTCAGCAAATGCTTGCGATCGAAGGAACAAATGAACACAGGACAGGATATCTCAAATACCAACGAGCCATCCAGCCCCGGGCCAGGTGTGCTCTCTGAGGGCTCAAAGGAACCACGGAAGAATTGGCTCAACTCTCACCACACTTCACTGCGATGCATCCTTTACTTGTTTCTCTTCCCTTCTAGGTCGCAAATGCCATGAGGGCAGGGGCTGTGTCTGCTTTATTCACCTCAAACTCCAGCAATCACACAACACCGCCAACTCGATAGATTTCTGTTGAAGGAATGAATGGATGAAAAGGGACTCCAATTTTCGGTTTTGATTTCCTCCAACTGTGATTACTCACTGAACACAAGGGCAGATCACAAATAGTGCTGTGCAGCCTGCCCTTCCCCGCCCATCTCTTGCTTGTTACTAAGACCTAAGGAGAACTGTGCGGAGCTGGAGGGGCTTTCTCTCCGCAGCTGAAGATTACCCGGCAACTTGAGCAAGAGCCATAGCAGGCCCTCCACCAAAGGAGCCTCGGAGGAGAATGTGGGTCTTCCCCAAGCAGGTATGCGCAACAGAAACAATTCGCCCCTCCCCACCACCCCGATGTCCTTGGAATTGTACCTACGTCTTCAAACTTCTTAATACAAACGACTCCCTTAGAAAAGACGGGGAGATAGCAAAAGAAAGGAGATTCCCTGAAGCTTTGAGACAAAATCGGTTAGGGGACAAAGGGCTCTCTCCTTGCATCTCGCCAAAAGATGTCCTAGGCTGTCCCTTGCTCCGCTCTATGTCAGCCCTGGTCTCGGTTATAAATACACGGAACTCTGGGCCAGGCCAGACCTCCTAACTCGCTTGTGCATTCACTGGCTCCAGCTCTCATTGATGCAGCAGCCTAAAGCAGGCATTCTCCAACTTAGTACCTAAGAATCCACAGGCAGATCCCCGGGACCCAGTCCTGAGACTCTGGATCAGCAGGCTGGGGATGAGAGCCTGGAATCTGCATTTTAATTCCCCCAGGTAATTCTGAGGTCGAGTGCCTAAGGTCTCTGCTTTGAAAGTGGCTCTTCTAGTCCCAGGATAAAACTCTCCTCCTTGCTTCTCCAGGCCACTGGTTGAGCTCTCTTCTTCCCCGTGACTCTCTCAAACCCCGGCAGCGGACTTCTTAGGCACGAGTCACACTAGTATCACTGAACTGTGACACCGTCTTTATTTCCCCAGCACATCACACAGTACGTGGTCTAGAGCAGATATTCAGAAAATGTCTGTTGAATTAAGGAATGAATAAGTGAATGAATGAGTGAGCAAATGAATAAATTTAACATCACCACAGAATAATTACCCCCCTTTCAGTTTCTCCCCAGTTTTTCCATCTCTAACTTGAGGAAAACATGACTTGCTATTCAAGATCATTTTTTGCTCACAGACATAGAGAACAAACTAGTGGTTACCAGCAGGGAAAGGGGTGGGGGAGGGGCAATAGAAGTAGAGCTGTAAGAGGTACAAACTATTAGGTATAAAACAAGCTATAAGGATAGATTGCACAACACAGGGAATGCAGCCAATATTTTATAATAACTATAAATGGAGTATAATCTTTAAAAACTGTGAATCACCATATTGTACACCTGTAACTTATATATCAATAATATTATACCTCAACTATATGTCAATTTAAAAAATAAAGAACAATAGAAGAAAATTAAAAAAAAATTAAGGCCACACTTATTTACAAGTTAATTTTAAATTAAAAAAAAAATAAAAAGATCGTTTTCCATTCTCCTTGTCTCGGCAGTGTCTCTCAGAGGCACTGACTGGGAAGCCAGCACCAATGGAGAAAAGCAGGTCCACAAATACAACCTAAAAGAGACCCTCTGGTCATCTGCTAAAGCCCAGAAAATATCGTTTTCCCCATCAAAGATTTGTGGATCAAAGACATCCACGGTATTGCTGCTGTGGTACCCATGCTGGAGAAATGGTGCCAGAAGCTTCTCTTCCCTGCAGGGAAGCCCTAGTCAGCCAGGTCAGATTTGGGGGAGGATGGGAGGCCGATGGTTTGCTCTTCTCTGATCTACTGCTGAGAGAAGCTTTGGACTGGAAATCCCAGTGGCAGGTTAATGGTGAATTTTGAATTAAAACACAATAAGCTCCTCATTCATTCCCCATTCACACCTTCCTTTCTTGAGGCTGAAGAAAAGAGGAGAGAGGGGAGATAAATTAGGAGTTTGGAGTTAACAGATACATACCACTGTATATAAAATAAACAACAAGGTCCTACTGTATAGCACAGGGAAATATATTCAATATCTTGTAATAACCTATAATGGAAAAGAATCTGACAAAGAACATATGTGTGTGTATATATATATATATATGTGTGTGTGTGTGTGTGTGTGTATAACTGAATCACTTTGCTGTACACCTGAAACTAACACAACACTGTAAATCAACTATACTTCGATAAAAAAGAAGACCCCTTCCCCCTTGGCAAGACTGCCCAGGCTTAATCAGAACCTTAAACCTCTTTCCTTCACCCATGTTGGAAGCACAGTGACCGTGATTAGAATAGTCTGATGTAAGCGCCGCTTGCGATGAAAAAGTCGCTGACAGAGAGTGCAAGGTGACACCATGAGAACAGCCGGAGCTATGAGGTCATTTAGTCCAACAGGTAGGCTGTTCTGTTTTCTCAGCCCTGACATTCGATGCCCCACCAGTTATTCAATAACCAGAAATGAGGTGGGTCCCACAAATTCCTGCATCTCCTTGGGGATGGGGGGGAGGAGCTGTGCTTTCTTGATCAAGGGCACCCGAGGAGAAGCCAGAGCTGGAAACCTGCCCCCAGGAGGATGGGTGGATGAAACAAAATGCAAGAAGGATATTCAGAAGCAAGTGGCATCATTTCTGTGGCTACATCACATTTAACCCAGACAGTCATGCCCTGCTCCTAGACGGGAAAGTGAAACTCACCCCCCAGACTGAGCAAATGTGCAAACTCTCAGGTCAAAAGAAGTAGCTAGGGCTTCCCTGGTGGTGCAGTGGTTGAGAGTCCGCCTGCCGATGCAGGGGACACGGGTGCGTGCCCCGGTCCAAGAGAATCCCACATGCCGCGGACCGGCTGGGCCCGTGAGCCATGGCCGCTGAGCCTGCACGTCTGGAGCCTGTGCTCCGCAACGGGAGAGGCCACAGCAGTGGGAAGCCCGTGTACCGCAAAAAAAGAAAAAAAACGAAGTAGCCACTCCTCAGCAAATTTGTTTTTGAAAAAATGAGGGGGGAAGTTACTATATTATTTGTTTGTGGAGAGGTTTTTTGCTTCTGTATTTGTATGTTACTACGCAATATATTCCATACATATGACCCAACATACACAGGTTCTAGAGCTTTAAATACATGAAATATTTTTATGAGATACTGTAATTAGTGCTTCAAAAAATAAGTTCAACCAAACATATTTTCCTGTGACCATTTCCTAGAGGTTAAAGAGGTTGTAGGTTTTTTTCCAGGCATAGTATTACAGGTGGGGTGATGTATTAGTATCCCAGGGCTGCCAAAACAAAGTACCACAAACTTTGGTTGACTTGAAACAACAGAAATGCATTGTCTTGTGAGAGTTTCGGAGGCTGGAAGTCTGCCATCAAGGTGTCAGCAGGGCCATGCTCCTTCTGAAACCTACAGAGGAGAATCTTCGCTTCCCTGTCCAAGATTCTGGTGTTTGCCAGTATTCCTTAGTGTTCTAGGCCTGTAGAGGCATCTCAGCAGTCTCTACCTCCATCATCACATGGCCATCTTCTCTCTCTGTGTCTCTTCTTCTCTTTTTACGAGGACGCCAGTCATTTTGGTTTTTTGTTGTTTTTTAAAAAAATATTTATTTATTTATTTGGTTGCACCAGTCTTAGTTGTGACAGGTGGGCTCCTTAGTTGCAGCTCATGGGCTCCACAGTTGCAGCTTGGCAGCTCCTTAGTTGTGGCATGTGAACTCTTAGTTGCAGCACGCATGTGGGATCTAGTTCCCTGACCAGGGATCAAAGCCGGGTCCCCTGCGTTGGGAGCATGGAGTCTTAACCACTGCACCACCAGGGAAGCTCTGCCAGTCATTTTGGATTAAAGGCCTACCCTACTCCAGTATGACTTCACTTTAGCTTAATGACATCAGCAACAAAGCTCTAACAATGCTAATTTTCAAATAAGGTCACATTCTGAGGTACTGGGGGTTAGGACTGCAACACATTTTTTTTAGGGGACACAATTCAACCCATAACAGGTGATGACTACCAACAGCTATAAGCCCAGCTCATAAAAGGAAAACACGGAGGCCACAGAATTGATACAGCTCCAGTCAGTCTTGGGAAGGGCCTTAGCTACAGATACATCTGTGATTCCTCCCAAAGAGGGGAACAAGCCATTCTTTGATCAATCCTTTTAGCAAATATTCACTAAGCAACTACTAAGTGTCCTACATATGCTGTCTGTGGGTGAGAGAGATAAGACAAGGTCCCAGTTATTGGTGGTGAATAGTAGAAGATACTGGGTAGTATTTTAATTCTTCGTTCCACTGCCTCCAGCCTACCCCACTGAACTGTGAGCAGTTTAAGCGGCAGGTACTTTCCCTGCCTGTGCAGCAGCTCCCCCATACCCAAAATCCTTTGTGGAATCAGGTAGCAAGGAGCTTTTGGGCAGAGAAAAACCAGCATACAAGTGGTTAAAGGACAGTGTGCTACAGGTCAGAGGAGGCAAAGTCCAAAATCCCGGGAGGCACAAGGGAAGACTCATAAGATTTTTCCAGCTGCAGAGGATTTTTGAGACCATCTTAGTTGATGGCTTCAAACTTGAACACAAAAAACCAATAGAACATTTTCTTTGCAAAAAATCGTGTTAGGACGTACAATGTGTGAACAGGCAAAAGCCAGATCCTTCTGGTGGAAGGAAAACAGGGCTAGGGAGAGCCCCTCCCACTCAGCGTAGCTCCAAGTTCTGTCCCTGAGCTTCCTGGGAGGAAACTCCTCCCTAGGCATTTTCTGAAAACCATTAGACTACCAATGGGCAAACTGAGGCCCAGAGAGGTGGTAACGAATACTATGTTCAGCAACATGCATCCATGGCAGAAGCAGGATCAGAACTCAGATCTTTCTCTGACTTCCAAGGTGAAGCTGCCTGCACTACCTCATGCTCTCAGGGTGAAGGGGACAAGAAGAGGGATTTTCACACCCTCTGATCTTTCTACTTTCCTATGGCCTCTGCCTGGTCCCCACACTGCATCTCCTGGCAGGGACATATCCAGCACCAGCCCCTGGACGTGTGCTCTAATCTTCTTCTCCAGGAGGCAGGGGAAGGGACTCAGTGACGTTCTGGGTCTCTTCCAGTCCAGTGATACTGCGGTTCCAATTAGGCTGCCTTTCCCTGTAACCCCGATGTCACCTTCTAAGCTACCCGGGACTTACTCCACTCCATTCCTTTATGGAGGAGGAAAATCAAGGCTCATGAGACACAAATGAGGAGTTGCTTCTTCACAGGTTTGCTCTGAATCCAGCTTTTTCTCATCCACATAATTGACAGAGAGAGTGTAAGTTGGGGAGATACCTAGATTTCTAAAAGGAAACGTGCCCCCCAAGTACGTCCAACTTCATCTGGGACAGTTTAGAAGTCCATACTCAAGGAACAACACCCAATACTCAGTTTTCTTAGCCCAACCAATTCAACACTGAGAGAAACTTCCTGGGATGCAGGCTCTCCTCATGAGGTGTCCTGTCCGCCTCTGAGGTCAGTTTGGCCTCCATCCATTGAAATGACTCCCCAAAGACTCACTGCAACCTCTGAGGAAGGTGAGTCCGGAGTCACTTTCCTGCCAGTCAAAGGAAGGGCAGTCATTTGGAGAAATCTCCAGGGAGTGTTGCCTCTAGGAGTAATGATGGGCCTTGACGTGTATATTCAAGACCTCTGGGTTCAAGTCCAGGGTTTGCCACTTACTACTGGTGACTTGGGACCAATCTCTTGATTTCTCTTGAACCTACCCTACCTCCCATGTACATTGGGGGTTTATTCAACATTCATTCAACACACACTGAGCACCTACCAGTGCCAGGTAGAGCTGTGGTAAATTTTTCCCCTCCCTACTTCCCAGGCTATTGTGGGGACCAGACCAGCAGGGATCTGAATGGCTGTCAGTGGTGGGGATACAGGGATGCTGCTTCTATCTAACATTCCCATGGAGTGGGAGACATTTATTTCCTCAGCACGTCTTTTACCCCTCCAGACCTCATTCTCTGACCTGATGCCAAAACAATGGGATTGGATCTCACGTTTTTCATGATTTTCCATCACATCACCCATTTTGAGGGCTGAGCTGGCACCTGAAAAACCATCAACCATGCAAATTGGCATTCTTCCATTTTCCTATAAAAATGGTGAATGACACGAACTTAGCCTTATCACCCTGTATCCTCAGCAGAGCCAGACATACGGAAGATGCTCAATAAATGTGTTGAATGAATGAGTGAATGGGAAATGTTGCCTCCAAAGAAGGGAATTAGTCAAATTAGAATTAAGAGGAAGGACCACTTTTCTATGGGTTTATTTTGCCCATCTCCCAATAGCTTAGCATCTTTTCTAATGTATTCCTGACTCCATGAATGACTCCAGTTATGTGCTTTCTCTCTGGCTATGGCATGAAAACCCTTGGGACACAGTGTGCTGTCCAGCTGCCAGGCCCGACTTCAGTCCCCTGATCACACCGGTTACACACGCGGGAGGGGACGATGCGTGTGTCCCCTGCCACCCTCAAGCTAACCGCCAGGGCCAAGTGGAATATTTTCATCCGGGCTTTCCCCCCTTTCTTTTTTCTCTTAAGCTTCTTCTAGTGATAAAAGCTGAAGCAAATTGAAATTGGCAGCTCTGTGGTCTTCCAGCGACAGGCAAAGTACTAGAGATCATGTGAACCACACTTCTAAAAACTTAAAAAAAAATCTAATCTTGCCTCAATAAAAACGACATCATGTCACTGTAACCGGCAGGGGGGGAAAAGGCTTGAAAGTTGCTGGCAGCGGCCCAGCAGAGTTCAGGGGTTCTGTTGGCTGAGCTGAATTCCCACGGGAAAGGTAGAGACAGAGTACTGCCTTTCAGGTGAGCCTTGGAGGCCCCAGGAAGAGTAGGAGGATGACATAGCCCCCCCTGAAATCTCCCTTCACTCTCGGCATTGCTGTTATCACGGCTCAGGGCCTGGCTTCCTCCGTCCCTGTCCCTTTTCCCACCTGCCTTCCCTCTCTATGTAGCTCTCGGCTGTGCACCTCCCTCTGGCTGGCTGACTTGGAGGGAGAGACAACAGCCAGCCTGGGACATCTCAATGGCCCAGACCTAGAGCCAAAGAGGGTGGTACCAAATGCCCCAATTCCACCCCAGTGTGGAGCCTTTGCAAACTCAGCCTTATGTGATCTGAGCCTAATACAACAATAAAAATGGCAGGTTAGCTGCAGTGGCAATAGCTACCACTGGCCCTTCTGCACAGGAGTCGCGTCAGCCCTGGGGAGGGCAGTGCTGGGAGCTGGTTCTCACAGCAGCTCAGTTTACCTTCGATTGGTAGTTGCTGGCTGCTACCAGCCATTGGCTGTTCATTAGCAATCCCCGGATGTGTATGCATGGGACCGGTAAGAGTGACTGCCTCTGGGGCAAGGTTTGGGGGATGAGGGCCACAGATGGAAGGGTTACTTTTCAGTATCTACCCTTTGTACTGCTTGAAAATCTTAACCATATGCACATTTTAGTTAAATCAATGAACAGATAAAGAGAAATCCATTAGCAGCAAATGAACCCTCAGTGATGCCTGCCTCTCCTGACTTCTCAAACTGGGGTACACAGGACCCACAGAGTGGCCCAACAAGAGGAAATCTGGAACTTCAATTTTCCTTGAAAAGTTGGGAAGAGGGAGCAGATATATTATTTTTATATTAAAAGAAATAGGAATATATGCAGAGTATAATGCAAAATGTACTTGGATGATTAAGAGGAAACATAATATTTTCGTTTGTACGATATGCCACATACCAACAAGCCAGCCAACAGGCTAATGAAGTACTAGGTGCCAGT